TATCACCTTAATGAGAGGTAGTGAAATATAGGCCAAGAGTCAATAAAGAATTATTTTCAAAATTATATTTGTCAATCGGATACTGATTATATATTAAAAACTGATTAGAAAGCGTCTTTCGTATAACTTTTTTCAAGCGAGGGATTTGAAAACTGCGTTAATGTCGAAAAGAAGTTGTGAAAACGAAGGAGAATGTACAATTTATTTATATTGTTAAAGCTTACTTCTTAAATATATATATTTTTTTTTAAATAGAAAAGGGAGAACGGCACGAACTTATGGGACAATCCAACGCTGGACTCTCAAGGAGTTATTTTGAAACTCACGATATTTAAAAATGGTTCTCCTTCGACTATTACAAAATTGATTTATGTAAAAAGAAATATAGACCTTTACAAGGACGATAGAAAAACCTATAATGCTCTTGTCAATATTGCAGGAAATATTAACGAATATGCACGCGCTCAGGCTAGTAGTTGAATAATTTAATGGACTGTAAACGTTCAATCGGCTTCACTGTTTCTAAGGGATTTAAAGCTACAGTCGAACCTCTATAATGCAAACACTATCCATCACTGAAAATTTCATATATTTCGCGCGCTGAAACAATTCATAGAAAAATTGAAGTACAGGAGAGCTGATGGTCTTCCGGATAACGACTATTACACACGTACATCACTATCCTTTCAAGGGAGTCATCAAGCCGCATAACGACCTTACTACTGATCTTACAGCGCATGGTCGATCTCTCCGATTTAATTTCTTTTATAATATATTATAGTAGACAAAAAACTAAGCGACACGTATTTTTTTTATCTGCCATTAAATACTTTAAGGGGGTGAAACCACCATCCAAAGTAAGGCCTGTGAGGGGTGGCTCACCCCTTAATTTTCTTCTTTTTAATTCAGAAAATTATATTTTTCATTTCTCGTTATGAGAAAGCTTTTCCAGGTGGATCGGTTAAAGAATCTTATGTTCTTGTGGGTGAAACTGCCAAATCGCTCCTTGATATGCCTTACTTTGGATGGTGGTTTCACCCCCTTAAAGTGTTTAATGGCAGACAAAAAAAAATACGTGTCGCTTAGTTTTTAGTCTACTATAACATATTATAAAAGAAATCAAATCGGAGAGATCGACCTGGGATACCTTCCTTGTCAGACCAGTAGAAAAGGTTAAGGTAATTACCTGGACCCGAGGTTATTTGTCATGACTTGAAAGTTAGATAAAAAGAATTCCGAGGTTGTGGAAGCAAATTATTTACGACACCGCGTGGCTTAGGTGGGGAAATATAAGGTCCGTAAAACGTCCTCGGAGCGGCTGCAATGCAGCACGCCACGTTTATGTCCATATTACGCACCGAGAAACGCAGGGAATAGAGCTTCTCTCCGCATCGTTGAAAGTAGCGGAGAACGATAGGCAAATAGCGTCTAAGGCGTGCTTCAGGCATTTACCGATGTACGTGCGCACATTAAGGCCCGAATAATGTGCGGATCCCCTCAAATGGATCGAGCGCTCACGACTTGGAGCATTGTTCCATCTTAATCTTGTTTGATCAGCACTTTATCCCTCGATATCTGAGAAGATGAAGTGAGATTCGCCCTCTGAACTTTATAACCTTGTTTAAGGGATATTGCAAGCTGCTGCCAATGTTTGTCTTCCGATGACGGGAAAGGGTTCCGTGTTTCATGAGAATTTGGAGGTTCATGGTGTCATGTTCATGTGAATTTGAAGTATTCGGGGTTTAGTGACGAGCAAGATCGGTTTTGGTCTTGTTCGATCGAGTATTGGTCTTCCATGATCGTCAGTTCTGTGTTGGCTTTTGTTTGGCAAAAGGCGCAAGAGTAAACCGTGCAAGACCTATACTTGACTGAGCAAGATCAAGATCGATTTTGTTCATCACTGACCAGGTTCAAATCCCGCCACCACGATCGAAATTTGTTTGACTTCTAAATCCGAGTATGTTGTTCAATTTCACTGACGAATCCGCAAACATCGCATTATCTGAAAGCCATAACCTTGTTTAAGGGATATTGCAAGCTGCTGCCAATGTTTGTCTTCCGATGACAGGAAAGAGTTCCGTGTTTCATGAGCATTTGGAGTAACATGGTGTGATGTTCATGTGAATATGGTTTTAGTGACGAGCAAGGTCGGTTTTGGTCTTGTTCGATCAAGTATTGGTCTTCCATGATCTTCAGTCCAGTGTTGGTCTTCGTTCGGCAAAAGGTACAAATACTGCAAAGGGCGCAAGACCAAGAGTAAACCGTGCAAGACCTATACTTGACTGAGCAAGATCAAGATCGATTTTGTTCATCACTGACCAGGTTCAAATCCCGCCTGCACGATCGAAATTTGTTTGACTTCTACATCCGAGTCTGTTGTTCAATTTCACTGACGAATCCGCAACAGGAGTCCAAATTTATTGAAAATGTCCGGTCCGCGGAGATCGTAATAATTTAGTAATTTAGTCACTCAACATCGGATTATCTAAAAGCATAGTACATATGTTTTTCCGCGTAGAAATATTTCATGGCAGTCTTGAGTTTATTCTCCGTCGAGTCTGTTCTTCCCCTACCAACTTAATTAATTTATCAGTATCGACACTTGTCAACAATTTCAAAGCTAAAAACTCGTTCATTGCATCGTGATAATTCTACCCGGACATAAACAGTCTATATGAATAAAATTAATATATTATAATTATAACAGTCTAATGTGAATAAAATGAATGTCAGTAAAACGTTTCTCTACATTTATCCGCTTGCACATTGACGCTAGTAATGTTAATTAGTTTTTCAAGGTACTTGTAAATATATGCGTACATGCTTACTTATGCATAATCGTGTCTCGAGAGGCGATTCATCTATTTCTCGAAACGCACATTTCAAATGTGAAGTGTTTATGTACCACTCGTATTACTTGGAAACATTTTGGAGGGAACAGCCTGAACACAGGGTAGCACTTACCAAAACTTGTAGCATCACTTTACCGTGTGTCATCCACCGTTCAGAAACAAACCAAAATGGTCCAATGCCTAATATGAAGTAGCAGGAGTCTAAATGTACATATCAAGTGTCGCGACGCATTGCAACTTGATACAATAGTTTCTGCAATACAATAGTTTTGTCTACTAAAGGATAGGTGGTAAACCTAAAAGTATTGTAGCGTTATGGCTATTTAGACATTTTACCACAACTTTTGGCATTCGTACGTACCAGCGGATAAGACGCATAAAGACGGTTCTAACAATTGATAAATTTACAACGGAAGCTTATTGATTTCCTATCTCCATCGATGACTCCTCGCACAGATAATGAGAGGTTGCATTCGAGTAATTGAATTCCAGGCCGATTATACAGAGAATCCATCCATTGTTTTCTGCCTGACCTATTGTTCGGATTCGAATTACACAAGTTTTCATCAGTCAACAATGGGAGGCTGACAATAAGCTCAGTCAAACGCGCGACGAGAGTGAAATTTAATTTTGATATATGAGGTTTTGCTCCTGACTGGGACATTTAATTCTTGCAAATATAATGTCAGTTAGATTAAACAGGTACGGTATTACGCGTGGTGTAAATTAAGTTAGACTAGGTTAAACAAAACCTTCACCCTATGTTTATTTGCTACATTGCTCAATTTTGATGAAACTTAAGACACGACATACTGATAGTAGATGATAAGGTTTCAAATTAGAAAAGCCTACAACTAAAACAAAACCGATTAGAACATTAATAAAAGATTGGCATCATGACTAAGAATTGGAATTAGAAAGGTGTTGCAAAAAGTATTTAGTGCATACCAAAAAGAATTCAATTTATGATCGAGGTTAAGGGAAGTTTTACTAAGTACTAAGAGCATTTTTTACAACAATCTGAAGCATATTTCTTCTTGAACGTGTGCTGCTTCGGAGAGTTCTTTTCTGATTATAGTTGAATACCTATTTCACCTAACGAACGTCGATAGCAGTTCATACATTGTCTGAGAAAATAAGATTGCTTCAATTTGTTGATGATGCGTTTACAACCCGTGTAACTAATAATCGGACCACAGGCTGTAACTTCACCTAAGACCGAGGACAACTAACAGAAAAACCCACAAACATTCATCCCTGAACGTCAAAGCTCTTCCGCAAGAAAACGTAGCACATCAGTGAAGTTCGAGAAGTCAGACAGAATCCATTCAGAGTTTCTCTCTCACTCAAATATTCTTTCTCATTCAAACAGTTGGATTGGAAAGTTCTTTCCTGATCACAGTAGAATACCTATTTCACCTAACAAACGTCGATAACAGTTCATAGATTCTCTGAGAAAATGATTGCTTCAATTTGTTGATGATGCGTTTACAACATGTGTAACTAATAATCGGGCCACGGGCTGTAACTTCACCTAAAACCGAGCACAACCAGCAGGAAAACGCGCATTCACCCTGGACGTCAATGTTCTTCCGCAAGAAAGCGCAGTGCCATCAGTGAAGTTGGCGAAGTCAGACAGAATCCATTCAGAGTTTCTCTGTCTCTCAGATATTCTCTTTCACTCAAATAGTTGGATTCCTTCTTCCCCCGGCATTCTCCGTTTCCGAACTCCGTGCGCTTCTTTAACCGTGAATTATTTCCTTTGTCTCGCGTTAATTTCCTTGGCGCAGAGCAGGACGAAACAACCGGACTGCTCCGCCGGTGTTGGACACCCGGCGAGACATAGGGAATCCATTTCTGGCGTTTCCCGGTGGATAGCATTTCGTTGGCCGAAATTGATTGCTTGTCACGAATCCTCAAAGCCAGCGGCGAGCCACGGCAGCCATTCGTCGGTCGCGGCACATTGGACGGAGAAATTGGAAATTTCTAAAAAGACCACCGTGTACCCATCGGCTCGCATGCAATTCCGTTACCCCGTACAATGGCCACGGCTCGATCGAGTGACTTTTCATTATTCTCCGGCGAAAGCTCTGAGGAACCGCCGGATTCCCATCGGTACGACTTTTAGAAGGAATACCCGAAACTTACCTTGTATGCTGACAGATCCTGGACGACGCACGCCAGGATGGCCTCCCGACCCACGGAAGCTGTCACGTTTACGATCGGCTCCTTGAACTTGGGATCTGCAACCATAAAAATCAGTCGTCCATCAGAGTCGTACTTCCGGAAAAGACGTTACGTACATTAATCATAAAAATCGCGTATTATTAAGAAAACACACTGATACGTGCGTATTTTGTTACTAGGAATGATATATCCTATTCAACTTATAAATCATTCTTTTTAGATTCCACCGTTTCGCTAGGTTAGATACTTTGTTTAAGCAAATGTTATCACATCTGACGCGGTTTATTCTCGAGACTTTCAGGTTTCCCACCAATCACAATGGCGGACCCGCCTTATGGGATGTTGCGATGGTGACTTTGCAGCTCCTGTTTTGGCCTGCAGTATCTGATGGACACTTTAGTCGACTCAAACTCTAGCGTTTTTTCTAGTTCTTCAACCATTCTGTACAGTACTCCTTGGTTTCGTTTATCGAGTTAGTCTTCCTTGCAGATTATAGTTTCCCTTGCTGTGTACGATGTGCATGATGGGAACTGGTGACATAATGGTTCGTACAACGCGAGTAGGCTAGCATGTCGAGCGAAACAGACTAGTGGGGCAGGGTTGAAACTCCACGGCATCTGCGGGGATTACTGAGACTAGGCGTAAGGATACAAGACCGTAGGCGAAGGAGAAGAGGCAGAGCCCGGAAGGGAGAAGACCGGAGAGAGTTCGAAACAGTTCGGGCAATGGACTCATAATGGTGACATAGGGGAACCATAATTCTATCCCCGTGTCTATTGAATAGCGTACACAGAGGTCCCTCGGGAAGCCCTCCCGTATTAAGACCTTGACTGTGAATTGATGGATCGGTCGTCTGTAAATGGCCGCATCCTAAGAGTGTTCTGTCAAAACATCAAACATCGCAATTGACAGATGACCAAGGGAATTCGAGGATGCGTGAAATCAGGAGTTACGTTTGGTGAATTTTGTGGAAAGGTCCGACGTTAGATGAATGATAAGGGCACATCCAAATTAGTAGATCCAGTGATTCCTGGTTTACGGTCTACAATTGATAATCCTCAAATTCAGTTGTCCTTCTTTAGCAAGTTGGAGGACAGTAGATCCTTTGATCAGTTTTCGTGGTTAGGCACATTTATTGGTCTATTGCATTCAAAACTGTGATTATTTCTCGAATTCCTGAAATCGAATTTTATGCAAGAAAGTCGATTGATCGACTTACGACGGTTTGTTATCCTGTTATGGACCTCATCTTCTGAAGTTTAATTTCGTCGTTCCCTTCAAAGTGAAATATTGCTTGTCTGCTTGTTATTAGTCAAATTCAATCTCACGTAGGATATCCCATAAAGTGTCAAAGAAATTTCAATGGATTTTTCAGACTCTAAAAATGGCTGACGTATGTAAACTTCTTAAAGCAGTCTTGACAGAGTTATGGAAGAAGTTACCAACAGTATTTAGGATACACGCATGCATGCATAAATAAATGTATCGTAACGTTGTCATTGTTTTCTTAACAGAATTGAAGTACCGATTTACGGTCCATGTTATATACTGACGTACATGCACACACGTATGTAATATTCTCAAAGGAAACAGCAGAGACGATTTTTAGCTGAATGGGTGAGCATTATTATACTTAATCTAGTGACGAACTCTCCATTTACGGATTGTAACGGCAGAAACATGCTTTCATTAAATGTGCTGAACATCAAAACCTTAATCGTCCGTAATATATCGCAAATATATTAAGCATGAAAACTTCAATAGTTTATCAAATACCTTCTGAAACTTAAAAATGGTAAAAAATACGTGTATAATAATGTGCGACACGTTGTTAGACGACATTACGTTCAAACTTTTCGTTCGGTCCTTTTACTGTAAATCCAAAGAGGATTTTAAAGCACTTTAATAGTGAACCCTTTGAGTTTAATCCACCATGGCGTATCTTTCCTAAATCATTAGAAGCTTTTAGCGCCATCGTTTACAATATTCAAGTTCTTCTTCCTTTTATAAAAGATTACAACGTTGCGAAGTTCACTTAACGTAACAATTAGCTAAGTTGCTATGTCCATTAAAATATTTAATTAATGCAATAAATGCCATGATCTTGTTTATTTTTTCCCGAGTTTAGCCAACGGATGGAAGCACCTTTAAAATTTTTAACAATCATAATTTCTCACAAAACTTTATTAGCGCCGTTAAATTGAAACCCATTAACCCTTAACTACAGTTATGTATTCTCATACACTCGACCGTTTTTAGTGATGTTGTTTCCGTACTTCCCATAATTTCATCTCTTCATGTTTTATTTCTATTAATTTTATTTCGTTACTACTCTGCATAACCTTCCGTCAAGGGTCTAACTTTTATACAGTTTAATGATTGTTAAATATAATTTTAATATTTAAAAACTGAGGTGATCTCTGTTCATGATATTAAAGTAGCATGCCAGTTGTTAAGTTTTAAACAATTTTCCCGTAGTTTCTCCGAAACATTGAGGAACCGAAAAATCTTAATCGGTCTAATCTTGCTGAAGTCAGTAAAGATGAGGAGCATTACTTCCCCAGCAATGAGGTAATTGTAGCGTATAATGTCAGGCTATTATATTAGATCTGGGTTGCTATCTACAGTCGGAATCGAATCTGGGACAATGCTACCAGTGTCCCATCACCGGACTTCAGATCTGGGGTAGAGGAGATGGATTGTTTGCAGTTTTCGTAAATAATAACTCAGTGGGTGAGGGCGGCTTGGATAATGCATATAATTTTAATATTGCCAATATAATTTTAATATTTAAAAACTGAGGTGGTCTCCGTTCATGATATTAAAGTAGCATGACAGTTGTTAAGATTTAAACAATTTTCCCGTAGTTTCTCCGAAACATTGAGGAATCGAAAAATCTTAATCGGTCTAATCATGATGAAGTCGGTAAAGACGAGGAGTGTTACTTCTCCAGCAATGAGGTAATTGCAGCGTATAATGTCAGGCTATTATATTAGATCTGGGTTGCTATCTACAGTTGGGATGGAAACTGGGACAATACTACCAGTGTCCCATCACCGGACTTCAGATCTGGGGGAGAGGAGGTGGATTGTTTGCAGTTTTCGTAAATAACAACTCAGTGGGTGAGGGCAGCTTGGATAACGCATATAATTTTAATATTGCCAATATAATTTTTATATTTAAAAACTGATGTGGTCTCTGTTCATGATATTAAAGTAGCATGCCAGTTGTTAAGATTTAAGTAATTTTCCCGTCGTTTCTCTTCTAACTCTAACTATAACTTCTAATTCTAACATTGAGGAACCGAAAAATCTTAATCGGTCTAACCTTATTGAAGTCGGTAAAGACGAGGAGTGTTACTTCTCCAGCAATGAGGTAATTGTAGCGTATAATGTCACGCTATTATATTAGATCTGGGTTGCTATCTACAGTCGGAACCGAAACTGGGACAATGCTACCAGTGTCCCATCACCAGACTTCAGATCTGGGGGAGAGGAGATGGATTGTTTGCAGTTTATGTAAATAACAACTCAGTGGATGAGGGAGGCTTGGATAATGCATATGGTTCACGCCGGCGCAATTACAGCTTCGTAACTATCCCCAGGAAAAGTGAGATGAGAATTCCATCTTCCGCTTCCTTTGATATCGAAAAATGCAGAAAATGCTGAACGGGCCAACTTGGAAAACTAAACGACAAAATGATATTACAAGATTGTCATAGCCATCTGCGTTGCGGGGTCGTAATGAATTACAGTTCGATTCGGCCTCGATCTTGCATTTCGTTTCCAATTACGTTTCACTTCCGCCTTCATTCTCTCGTTTTTGTTTTTTGCCATTCGCATTCATTCCGGCATTTCCCTTCCTACCGATTCATTCCCTAGTTTCCTTCCAGCTTTGCTTCGTTCCTTACTTTTCTTATCAAGTTTCGTTTCGAAGCGGTTCGGATTCGCGGTTTCGTTTCTTCTTTCTTGTTTCTTTTACCATTTTTTGATGATTGTAGCATTTTCTTTTTATAAACGGTGATATTCTCGAGTGCGCTTTCTAAGCATAATTTCTGCATTATGTGTTAGCAAAGTGCTGATTAAATTTCTGTTCTCATTTTATCAATTACTCGTCAGAAATCGGCGTTAATATGTTAGTTTCTCCTTCGACGTAACTTAAAGTTTAGAACATTATGATCGAATTCTAGTATTATTACGATGTCTGGATATCTGATCCGTACAAAATTTTTTCCACTTTTCGATAATCATTAGTTCAATTATGCGGTTCTGTTGGATGACCTTAAAACTTCGGGATATTTTGGTTAACATTTTCCTTCACATTCCGCATTATTTGATGTTTATTTTCAAGCGAAACTTCATGTATTACAATCAGGTTAAATGCTCTTCAAATTGAAATTACTACAGATGGCAATTTTCTCCTGATACCCGAGCAATATTAAAATTGATTTACCTACCCAGCTTTATATACGTTTTCTCTCAATCTCTGCATTCCATACGTTTCGTAATTTTTCGATAGTACTCCTCGTTGGAGTATACACTTACATTCCACCCCACAATAAAATGATATTCCATACTTTTAATACCAATCAGCCGAGTATTAACCGACATATTGCTAGCAGACACCAATTAAAATGCGAAGTCTCACTTTACTAGAGAATGAATCGTAATCAATGTTAATTGCTGCCTACATGTATTTAAACGTCCACCAGAAAGGCTACACACCGATGTATGATACTCAAGTTGTAATTCGAATGACGCCTTTATAAACAACTAACAGTTACAAATTGGAAACAGAATAAATTTGTGTAGAAAAATCTGCCACCCTCCGGGACTTTTTCCCACCCTTTTTGAAAGGAAAAACTTCTCTATAGAATTATAAATATGACTATGGGGAATTAAATGCCCGCGCTTGCTCGATGTGCATTTCGTGTCCTGTGAATAGTTTTAACGAACGCGTGCATGCATCGGTGTAGTTTTTCAAGTTAGTAACTCATGCGCCTTGTTTGACGCAAAAATCCTATATTGACTGTTAAAGGATTGATAATTATTGATATTTATAATAGAACTCTGGTTGGTGACGATAATACGAGTAGGCGAAGTTTCGACGCAGAAGTTAATGTGACGCGGCAGGCAAATGGATTCTAGACATTTTCTGAAAGATTGGAATAAAATCCGCTTTTTATGAAGATATCTTTTCAGAAAACAGTCCGAAATTACTGGAACAGAATTTGTTGGAGGATAACTCGGTAAAAAATAATGACGTGAATGTCACCGGATACAATGGTAACTTATAATGGTCATATGCAAACATTAGTGGAGTTAAGAGTTGGTCTTCAAAAACTGAGTTTTGGAAGGAATGAAATAATCCTTCTCATCGCAGATTCAGAAAGATATGAAGTTGGCCTTAACATGGTCATAAAAACGTTCTCAGAATAACA